ACAGACTCCGTAGGTCGTCGATCCCTCTTCCGCATCACCTGCCATACCGCCTGCTGCAGCTCGTGTCAAGATACGAGGAAGCCAGAGCGGGACGCGTGCATCGCGCGCAACCACTGTCGCGTCGCGAGACGCCCGCCCTGGCTGCCGATGTCGAGAAACGGCACCGATCGAACGGTCATTGACTAAAGCCTTCGACGGTAAATAACCTTTTACGCCCGTTACCACATAAAGGCACTGCGCGTCTGTGCGAGAGAACGGCGTCGTTGTAGAAAAGAATCGACAACAGTTCGACGATACGTGATACACGAATATCATCGGCACAGATTTAATGCATTTTTCACACGTGTGTAGAGATATACGATTTTTTTTTTTTACATACTATTAGAACAAAATAGCCAAAAAAATAAGAAAGAGATATTTTATTTTAAAAATATCTCTGGATGGATGGATTTATAGCTTTTTTGTTATCGATTGTTGCAATTGAATTAAATTATGGCTGATATATCTTAAATTAATTTCAGACTACAAAGTCATCGTCTTTTTCTGCCTCTTCATATCGGTAAATTGTGTCTCGCAAGTCATAATCATTAATTTTTATGACAATTAATTATTATCAATCAATAATTAACATTTTAACCATTTGGTATATTCCGAAAGTCATGTTTGATCATTAGAGAGAGATAGTTTGTTTTCGAAAAGCATTATATTTTTTTGTCGGCGCGATATTCTTCTCGGTAGTACGGCACTTATCGTTTGATAAAGCCTGATCTCATGTTATCGTGGTACGGAGGACGCTGCTTTGTTCGCGCGAGGGAGCCTGCTATGTCAGTCAAAACGGATATCATACGGACGAGTAAAATGAGGAGATCCCGCTGACACAACTTGCACATTTTATAATGCGCTTGCTGCGCTCATTCGCTGCAAAGAGAGGATAAGGTGCAACGCGTAAGGGCAGAAAATCGGCTTATGAAAAACGTATACGTGGGAGTTGGCCAACCGGATTTCGGTAACTACATTTACGGTGTGTTATCGCTCTCTACCGTGTGCGACTCATTTTTATCTTCTTGATATTTTTATTAAGACGCGTATTTAAGACATGTACATATATATAAATCCACGTGTACGAATCATATAAAAATATCGCGTGCAAAATAATTGCGTAAATACAAATTGTAATTAATGCGCGTAAATTATTTTTATTAAATTTATATTTTTGAGTAGAAAAAATTTTCCACAGAAACAGTACAATCTTTCCACCATCGGGTCGGACAAACAAAAGCATATATCTTAGCAGTGGCGATTACGATGTTACGTACCGCTATACGTTACATCGTCTCTCTCGCGTACTCGCCTTTCCCTATTATCCCGGTAACGAACGGTAACAAACAAGCCTAATAACGACATAGTAACGCGTAAAGGGCACAAAAGACATGAAGGTGGGCCCTCTCCGCACTGCGGGCTCGGCCTACCTGTCGAAGCAGCGGCGGGCCCGGCAGCGTTTTTTCTCGGCTCTCTCTCGGCGAGCCGACGCTTCCTCCGACCGTCCTTACGCGATGTCACTGACCCGAGTCCGTATCTCGATGCACAAGAATAAGAAGGAGCGGGAGAAAGAGATGCCCGAGTAGAAGGAGAGGAAGAAGGAGGAGGAAGAGGAGGAGGAGGTGGCACGAGATTCCATCGTCGTAGTCATCGTTTGTCGTCACCCACGGTTAACCGTCGCCGCCGCCGCTGTCGCCTGGTCGCCTGGTCGCCTGGCCGACTATACGATCGCGACGACGACGACGACGACGACGAGGGTTCCGATTCTCGGTGAGGAACGCAATAGCGTTACACCGGTACGATGCAACAATATAGCGCGGGGCCGCCGGTCGTCGGTCCGTCCGACTCGCCTCGGCGCGACCGCGACGATCCCCGGAGTAGGGAGAGAAGACCTTGAGCCGCGTCACGTGACCCCGAAGGTGCATAAGAGCCGGGTAGGGCGGTCGCGGAGGGCCTTGAACTTACCGCCGACGTTGTCGAAGCCGGCGTCGTAACTATCGCGCGCGCCACGCTCGCCTTCTCCAGTAGAGGGACTACTATATGTATACTCGGGGAAGAGAGACGCACGCACACGCATATATACACACAATCACGTTGCGTTGCGACGATACCACGCGTGTATATGAAGAGTATCGCGATCACAATCGCTTCTTTTCGTATGTCCCGCACCGTAAGAGAAAAGATGAGAGAGTAAGAAGGAGAGGAGAGATTTCCTCTCGAGAAGAGTGTCTCCTTCCTGGAAAAATGTGGAAAATCTGAATTTCTTTTGTATCTGGAAAAATCAGGGAATTTTCATGGAATTTTATTAGGATATGAAGAATTTTTTTTAAAATTCTCTATCTGATAATTTTGCTGTAATCCGATATAATAGATAAGCCAAGTTGTGAATTATGTGTTTAAAATGTATTATAAATATATATCTATCCTTGTTTATATATTAAATGTCTTAACAAAATATTAAATATGCAGTAAATATATTCTTTATTGTAATTTTTAGTGATAAAAAAATGAAAAGTTGTTATCCAAGTGAAAAATGTTTATCTTACGAAAGCTATTCAATATTTTTTAACACATTTGCAAATCTACTACTTGAAACTTAAGTAGCTCTATATTTTTCCTTCATATGAGCGAAAAACACATTAGAAAACGCATACAATAAAAAAAACTTTTAGCTAATAAAAAAAAAAAAAATCTTTAAAATATTCTCCTTTCCCTGGAATTTTGAACAAAAATACCTGGAAGATCAGGGGAATTTTCAGGAAATTTTTTTTACAAGATTCCAGTAAAGACCCTATCTCTGTGTGTATATTAGAGTGCGCCCGCACTCTCCCTCGGCTATGTACGCCCGTTTCCGAAAACGTAGACCGACTCTGTGCGTACGCCCGGTATGCGACCTGCCTGCACTCCTGCCCGCGAGGGGCTACCTGCGTGTACACACACGCCTTGCACGGGGAGCAGCGAGGCGCGGGTGCTACAGGACGACATCCCGAGAGCGGCGAGGAGATCGTAACACCGGTCCCCGATATGCTCGACCGCCGTCGCTCCGCTCGGCCTCGCCCGACCTCCTCGTCTCTCCGCCTCGTAACTAACGTTGTTAACGCTACTCCCATACGCGGGGAACGTTTCGCGTTCTCGAAACTTTGCGATAACTACTCCAACATGAGATTCGCACGGATCTCCGACGAGAGTACGGTTACCGCGTTGTAGTCGTCGAGTTCTTGCATGCGAGATACGTGTCCGGTGGTAGCTCGCTGTCTCATATAAAATTATAAAACGACGCGCTCTACGGTATCCCTTTAACGCGTATCGTATCTTTTGTGTGACGGAGACGAAAGGAGATTATGTAAGAATAATCATGAGAGATTGAAAGAAAATTAATGTACATTGCGCGCGTGAAGGAAAATCTTGAAGATGATGCGTCATTCTTAAAGTATTCGCATTTTTACACAAAAGGCGCGAGTAATTTTATTATTCTTCAGAGCTAGTGTGTCTTTTATATATAATGCAAAAATTGAGTTCAACAGCTTTATCTTTTTTTACATTAATTTTAGACATTTTTGATAGACCTAGAATTCAAAACTTTGGCAAGATATAAACATTACAAATTCGTAATCTTTTTAATAATAAAAGAAGAATAAATTCGTAATAATTCGTAATAAAAGAAGAATTGACAAGCCAGAACAGAAGATAATCTTTAATCAAATATTGAAAGAAAAATCGACTTCTCCGATTTATCAAGTTCTTGTTATATTAATAATCAGTAGATACAGTAGAAAACAAAGTCGCGCAATAGTGAGAACTGAATTATATCTTTCGAGGACACAAGTGATTTTCTCGCTAGGTATTAATCGTTAACACACACGGTTCTCTGTACGCCGTATACATGAATCGTAAAATATTTTAATTATCCGCGAGGTTTACGCTTCAGAGCGTACTAGATGAATGATTTTGTAATACACTCGTAGAGCTTGAGAATGGATCGATGGAGCAAACTTGATTGATCTAAATAATGTTTCCTATTTGAATAATTATGTTTCGTGTATGTGCAATGTTGATTTAAAAAAAAATTTTTTTTTTTAACGATGAGTCGCTTTTTTCGTATGATACAACCGTCTGTCATGCGATCGATCTCTAGCATTCGTCTCGCACGCGCTTCGCACCGTGTGCGGGCGTGAGTGAACGCGTGCGTTTCCGCGCGAAGGTCGTTCGGCGGTTCTGCGGGACCGGAAGTGGGCCGGCCTTGCGGCACGGCCATCGACGTAACCTTGCGAAAGAGAGAAAGAGAGAGAGAGAGAGAGAGAGACTGTGTGTCAGGGCTCGCGAGATGGCTTCTAATCGCGCGGCTAGATTTTCGGCGAATGATTTCGTGCGAGAGAACATATACTGTTAGTCATTCTCTTTAACCGAGGGAGCCGAAATAGCGTGCTACTTTCTAGCAAAACCGCATATTGCATAAACTGTGGTTTAGAAAGTACATTCTGCGGATTTTGTAATTAGATTTTGAAAATTGAATTTTCGCTATAATATTTCTCAATTATATAAGTTTTACAATTTAAATAAGGATAGATTTTTTTGAAAACAGACAATCCTGGATCACGGTCAAATATCACGTGAGATTAATAAAATGTTAATTTCATAGCCAAGTAATCACATTAAAATAATATAGGGCGCAAAATATAACAGTTTTATTAATTTTACTTATAGAGCGAATTTTCGATTGGATGCACTAAATGCGTTTTTAATTAATTCTCTATATCATTTTCAATATATCAATTGAATATAGAAAATTAATTGAGTGCGCACTAAGTGTATTTAATCAGAATTTCCTATTGATATTTTCTTGCAGCGAGTTACCCGTAAAATTATTTATTTATACCCAATATATACATATATGTGTGTGTGTGTGTGTGTGTGTGTAAGAGAGAGATATTATATATAAAACATTCTCTTTTGTTTTTCAGATACAGAAGGAACGATCGACACAGCATTGTGTGCATCTGACTGTACGTAGCTCCCGATAATTCACAGACGCGACAATAAGAGGTTCCGCCGTAAGGATGCTGTACGCTTTCGCGGAGATCAAGAGGCCGCGAGTCGTATCACGAGCTGTTTACAGCAGCGTAATCAGCTGAGAATGTCGGAGCAAAACGGGCCCAGCGAGGGCCCAGGACCAGGGCCCGGTTCGGATTCAGGCTGGTGGCCTACCCAGACCTGGAAATCATCGTCGTCATCGTCATCGGCGACGGCGGCGGCGACCTCATCGTCAACTTCCACTTCAGTGGCAGGTTGCGCGTCCATTTCGGTTTCCTGCGCTACGTCCAGCTCGTCACCGACGAGCTCCTCCACCTCGACCAACACGTCCGCGACCTGTTGCCCCCTGTCTTGTATCGGGGTATCGATGAGCCCGAGTCGTTCCACGGAGACGGGGAAAAACGTGTCCGTTACCACTATTAACGTACCGCCCAATCAAGAGATGCACGATGGTAATTATTTCGATTCTCTAAAGAATTCCTTTAATTCGATCGTTCGGGGATATGAAATAGACCTTTTTACAAACAGTGCCAAATTTCTATCATGTTAGAATTTCACATAAATTTCTGTTATGTAAAATATTTGGCACGTTATAACGAAAAAGTAATATTTGCGAATTTTAATAGCAATAATATGATTTTAGGTAAAGGAGTGTGTAAATATCTCGGGGGACAGAACGGCGTGACGGTGTCGGTGGTATCGACCTCGGTGCTGGGATGCGGAAACGCCGTCCCGACAAGCGGAATCTGCACGAATACGGGGCCGCATAGTATCGGCATCGGAATTGGCGGTATCCTCGCCGCGAACGCGGCCGACATCGACGATCCCGAGGATAGCGACGGCGAGATCAGCAAGATTGACTTTAGAGGCGTCAATCTACGCTCGAAAAAGAAACGCGACGTATCGGGTAACCAGAATGGTGACAAGATCGGCGATGGGGATGCAAATGGCGACGGCGCGGGATGCTGTGACGATAATTCGCAACGGCAGCCCGAGAGACCAATGTCTTGGGAAGGAGAATTATCGGACCAAGAAATGTCTTCCAATACAATTACTAATCAGGTTGGATTTATCGTGATATTCTGAAGTCGTCGACAAAAAGATTTCACGGACACATCGAGACACGTTTGCCAAAATTTCTACAGAAGAAATAGAATTATTTCCTCGTGAAGACAATGAAGTCATTGTTTGACAACCAAACGTACAACAAAGACATACCTAACACATACTAAAATAATTTTTATTTTACGATCTATATGAAATGATTAATATAAGACTAAACTCTGAATATGGAGGTGAATATTCTGGCCTTAATTATAGAAAATGAAATTATTTAAGATATATAAAATTAAGATACACAAATTCTAATAATGCTATTAATTATTGGCTATTAGGACCATAACGAAGAAACGTCCATGGAGGGAGTTCAGGTGTGCAGTACGAGTCCTGGACCCATGGAACAGAAATTTCCGATTAAGTCAGAACCGGATTTTCGATCCAGTCCGGCTTTCACAATAGGATCCTTTCACGACGCCGGACTACCCATGACTCATAATCAACAACTGCAACAGCAGCAACAGCAACAACGCGGTATCGAAAATCTCGAGCAGACTCAACAAAGCGACCTACCGCTTCTCGTGGGCAAGCTTCTCGGTGGATATAACAATTCCACGCCTAATCATAGCCCTATTCTCAATCCGCGACATCATCTAACCAAGCACAGTCATACTAGATCGCAGGTGAGCTAATCATAGACGACATAGGATCGTATTAACATCAATCTGTCGCACCGTAGTGTTTTATTATATATAATATTTTCGAACTCTTGTAGGTGCCGTCACCAGATTCCGCCATTCATTCCGCATATAGCGTCTTCAGTTCACCGACGCAAAGCCCTCATGCAGCACGGCACTCCGCCTTAGCGGGCAGTCCGATACCGTCCTCATCGTTATCCCTCTCTCGGCACAGCTTCAACAATTCGACCTCCTCACTATCCCTGTCGCTGTCGCATTCGCTTTCGAGGAACAACTCGGACGCTTCCAGTAGCTGTTACAGTTACGGCTCGCTTAGCCCGCCTACGCATTCACCCGTCCAACAATCGAGACATCCGCATTCGCACTCGCAACATCACCAACATCAAGTGGCGCAAGGTAGTCCGTTGCATCTTCCGACAGCCTCGTCCGCTGTCGCCGCGCATCATTATTCATCCTCTTCCGTGCCAGGGTCGGAATTGTCGCCGGACGGCCATCCGGTCGCGGAGGATCAGGAAGACTGTAGAATACCCTCGGCGCCATCGGGTATTTCCACCAGACAGCAATTGATAAACAGTCCCTGTCCGATTTGCGGTGACAAGATAAGCGGATTTCATTACGGTATCTTCTCGTGCGAATCGTGCAAGGGATTCTTCAAGCGCACCGTCCAGAATCGCAAGAACTATGTGTGCCTTAGAGGCGCAGGCTGTCCGGTCACCGTGGCCACGAGGAAAAAATGTCCGGCCTGTCGCTTCGACAAGTGCCTCAACATGGGTATGAAGCTTGAGGCGATCAGGGAGGATCGTACCAGAGGCGGTAGAAGCACATATCAGTGCACCTATACCCTACCGGCGAATCTCGTCGGCAGTCCCGCCGGCGGAATGGGCGGCAGCGAAAAACTGACGGCGGCGGGCAATTGCAGTCCGGCACCGGCCGGAAGCGAGCACCATTATTCAGTCAGATATCATTCGAATCATTCTCACAAGCTGCAAGTGCCGCAACTCTTGCAAGACATTATGGACGTGGAGCATCTCTGGCATTATAACGACAATGATCGGGTAAGCGGGGGAATATCCGGGAATACGAGAAGCATCTCTATTAGCGGTGACAGCAATATGCTGCTCAGTGGATTCGGAAGTGGCGCATTGGCACCCGGTGGAACTGCGACTGTTATCGGCGCCGGAAATAACGGAGGCGCGGTGGAATGTTCGTCGAACGATTCGAGCAACGTCGATACTAACAACAGAAGAGGAGAGTCGGGTAGCCCCACCGGCTCGACTTCCACAGGGGCGTCCGATCAACATTCCACGAACGGCAATACCATAAATAATAGCAATTCTCAAATCGCCAGTAATTCCAATAATGGCAATCCGACGCAACATCCGGACTTTCTGTCTAATCTGTGCAACATCGCAGACCATCGACTTTATAAGATCGTCAAATGGTGCAAGAGTCTGCCATTATTCAAGAATATCTCAATCGATGATCAAATCTGTTTGTTGATCAACTCTTGGTGCGAGCTACTACTCTTCTCCTGTTGTTTTCGCAGCATGAACAGTCCCGGTGAGATCAGAGTGTCTCTCGGCAAGTCGATCACTCTAGAACAAGCTAGAGAGCTTGGTTTAGCGACTTGCATCGAGAGGATGCTCGCTTTTACCAACAATCTGCGAAGACTGAGAGTAGACCAATACGAATATGTTGCTATGAAGGTAATTACCTTTGCTCTCGTTATTAAAGATCCTCGTTTTCAATACATATTTAGCACCTAACACAACTGTCTATCATTCATTTCTTTATATTGGATGAAAATACAATCTAAACTACATACAGAAATCCAATCTAAACAATTCAATTGATTCTTTATTTATAAGGACATTAAAAGCGATATTTTATTTTGCCTTTCATATCTTTTAAATAAATAGGTGATCGTGCTGTTAACGTCCGACATAAGCGAATTAAAGGAACCTGAAAAGGTCAGAGCTTCTCAAGAAAAAGCCCTTCACGCATTGCAGCAATATACAATCGCGAAATATCCAGAAATGCCTGCCAAATTTGGTGAACTATTATTGAGAATACCAGATCTACAAAGAACGTGTCAAGCAGGAAAAGAATTGCTCAGTGCAAAACGTGAGGGAGAAGGCAGCTCCTTTAACCTATTAATGGAATTGTTGAGAGGAGATCACTGAATGATCAGCACAGTATAAACCAAGCCGTAAGTTTAATAATAAGCGAAATAAAATATGCAAGTTATGGCTAGAAGATACATAGTTGCCTTAAATAATCACTGTATTATTAATCGCATGCATTTGCAGATATAAAATTGTATAATTAAATCTCTCTTTTTTCAGATTCCACGCTTATAGGGTCCATAAGCTTAGGGAATCGGATATAATAGGTAATCGCAAAGTGTAAGAAAGATTAGAGAAATGAAAAAACGGCAGATGTATAAGATCTATAGTGACATTAGTATTTGGTGAGGGGATTGCATTCTTCGTAATTAGGTCGCATTAATCTAATAAAGATGAGAGAGGAACTTTCTATTTTACACCGGAATGCTTCCATATAGGTCGCGCGTGTTCGTGTTCTATCAAAACAAGAATTTCGAAGCGGCCTACGGTACACTGGATATTCAGTGTACATGTAGATGCTAATGAGACTGAAAGTATAATTGACATGGAGACACGCAGAGCATTTACTTTTACAATGATAAGCGTTGTATAAATATGTGAGATGGTATCAAATGGCATTATAATGCTAAATTTTATTAGAGATGGGTGTAACCTATTCGAGCGCGAACTCTTTATAATAGGAAACGCGAAATCTATAAACAAAGTTGACCTCTGTAATTAACGGTTATAATAGAAAACAACACCAGTATTGCGTATTGTTCTGCGCTTACTTAAGAACAGAGCATAGCCATGCCTTATATATTCCGGTTATGAAAGTGTACTTAAAAAACTCAACACATCAGTCGACCAATTATCTACTTATAGAGCAATTAATCATGGAATAATTAGTTCATAAATTTAGTGTGTATATATATATATATATATATATATACATACAGGATGGGCCCAAACGTTCCGGCCAGACTTTGAGATTTTATAGGAAATTTAATTCTAAACAAAAGGTTTCCCTGATATTTGTAAAAATGTATAAAATAACCGTAATTTCACAGGTTTCTGGGCGCTAACTCTTTAAGGAAGCATTTTTCGACCCATGTTTATAGGAAACTTTTTGTTCAGAATTAAATTTCCTATAAAATCTGAAAGTCTGGCCGGAACGTTTGGGCCCAATCTGTATATATATATATACATACACATATATATCGTCCATGGAGTACATGGTTCTTATCGATCACACAAAATACATTTTTTATTCTCTTTATATATTTTAACAGCTTGCCAAAAGAAAAACAAAACCAATTGGTATAAGTATCAGAGAAATTTGCAAGAGGTGATGTCAAGCGCGAATACATATAGCTGCTATCTTTTCTGTAAATGTTTTCTTTTTATTTTTTGTTTTTTTTTATTTTTTAAGAAAGAGATTGGCTAATATTGCTGTTCCGTTTTATTTGTGTAGAAAAATTTTATTATTATTGAGAGTTATCAAAGAATGAAAATAGCAAATCAGATTATATGTTATATATACATCTTTATATCTATCTATATATATATATATTTATATTATATATCGTTTTGCATGATTATTTATAATATAATTATAAAAAAATATTGGTTTTTATTTCTTTCAATATGACAAACTTTTATTAAGAATTTACCCAAATTTTATACTAGTACCAGTAAAGAAGAATGTTTATTTTATAATCGTAAAAAACAAAATTTTTAGAAAACTAATATATTTGCCAATCATGCAAATTATTATTTTATTGTTATGAGATAATATTCTCGAATATATGATACAGGCTATCAATCAATACTGATATTTGAGAAAGAATATGATTTGAAATTTATATATACACTGGTTGTATACATATATGTATATATATATATATATATATAATACAAATGTAAAATATTCATGTACGTGTCAATAAAAAATCTTCCACAAATTTTTCGTCGGACTAGTTTTATGTTAAAATGTATACGAAATTTTTCACACTATATTACGAGTATGAAATTATTACACTTATGTTTGAGCGTTTTCTCTATAAGAATTCTAAACCATAATTAATAAATAATAATAGTACTTAAATAATTGCATCAAAAATGTTATAATGTTTCTGAGTTTTATTTTATATTCTGAATCCTTGAAAACAGAAAGTAAATTTCTATAAATCTGCACTACTAATCAAAATTTAGTAAACGTTTATGAATGAGATTTACATTAAAATTATGATTCAGAAATAATAGCAACATTCGCAACTATTTATGATACACATATTACTCGACATATTTGAATAATTATTAACTGGAAAACTAAAGTTTTTATACGACAGACTGCAATGACAATTATATGAATATATATATATATATATAAATATATATACAGTTGTAAGAAAGAGAGAGAGAGAGGGAGGGTTGTAAGTATAACGAGAAAAACACCGGACGTAAGGGCCAAACAGCAGTGTAATATTAAACAGACCGTATCCTTTTTAGAGATAATATTGCGGATACTCGTCAATAGTATTTCTTATTGATATATATATTATTAAATATACAGCGCAAGAAATGTTATATAGGAAATGAAAAATATCGACAGAGTTTTATCCATCCACTATCAACTAGTTCAGTAGTTCTTATGTGAAAATTGTGAATTTTTTTTCTTTTCTTTTTTATTGTAAAATATTGTAAAAACCAATCAACAGGGCCGAGCGCGCGCGCGTTCGTATACGTATAATATAAATTATACATATATACGGTAAATACGCGCGCGCGAGATTGATCTCAATTCCGCGATTATGTGAAAAAACGTGTTCGGAATAAAAAAAAACAATTTTAGACGCTATTGACCTAGTTGACCCGCAAAGGAAAAAGACAGGAAGACGCCCCCCGATATACGCTGAAAATATTTCGTTGTCGACATAGAGAAATATATAACTACTCATACAGAAAACATACGATTAGAAAGTAGTTTTATACATACATGCAACACACACACCGAAAAGTATCAATGCGAAATAAAAGAAAAACTTTTTACACAAAATGTATTCTCGTGCTTATTCGCTCTCGCACGGAGAGATCGATATGATTTCTAAAGATTTTCTCCCTTTTATATTTCTTATGTTTCTCTTTTATCCTGATTAATTCAGACATAGGTATGAGAGAGATAGAAATATTTACATATCGCATTAGAGAGAGAGAGAGAGAGAGAGAAGCAAAAAAATATATAAAAATTCGAGAACGGCGATTCGAAAATATTCGTAATAATAATAACGCAGATGCAAGTAATATCGACGCGGAATTAATTATAAAATTATTTATACGTACATATATCGATGACCATCGTGCATCAAAATTTGTATTTTCTCGTTGCATCTCGGCGAGATGATAATGGCGGGAAGAGAATCCTGGGCACACCAAAACGGACACACGTCGACACCGAAATCGCGATGCAACACATTACCGATGATCGTACGCGTTTAATCCGTCGTGACGAACGACGTCTGACACGCGACGTCGCGACTTTTCACGCGCGAGATTCACTTTTGAATGATAACGATCGCGAGGAACACGGAGCGATTCGAATCACCGTCGCGGCGCGTTTCACAATGGCCGCGATTCGAGACGATATTGCGATTCTCGAAGTATGCATGTCGATTGTAGAAGAAGGGCTGCCAACCGCGGCAGAATTGCCTGCGAACCACACAAACTTCTATCAGCTGTTAGAAATATATGTAATATGAAATATATGCGTGTAATATATTTGTGTGTATAAAATATAATATAAAAAAATTTTATCAACGGCTATATCTCGGACAGAATGCGAGGTAGTCGAGTAGAAAAGTATCTCAATTAATTTTGTGACAAACACACATAAGTATGTAATAAAGGATCGACCAATCACATGTTTAATATTCTTATGCAGTAATCTTTGTATTAGACACATTGTGATTGGTTGATATTTCTCCATACATATATTTATGAAATACTATACAAATCTATGATGTGTCTGTGAGATCTTTCATTGCCTTTCATTCTTGCTTTCGGCTTACTTGTAACCGTGTATGCACTGTAACCTGCTGTGCGCATTATTATTCATTTTACCGGTACCCTCACGGTGACACGTGGTGTAACGCGACCGTCATGGGAAGCGCGGACACCGCAACGAAATTGTTCAACGATAGTCACGAAATCGAGGAATATGGGACAAATCTGAAGATTCTACCCTGCAACAACCAGGTGAAAGAGTTGCAAACCATTTTGCGGGATAGGTAAGTAACACTGTCGCTGTATCTTTTCATTGACAAATATATATATATATATATATATATTAAATCATAGTCGGAAGTAAATATGTATAAATTTTATTTTTCATTTTTCTTTTGCAGTTTCTCGTTACCAGAAAAGCACATTGTAGATACTTGTCAAATTTAATTAAATAATCATGTATATATTTTAATTGGATATGTACATATAATTAAATGCTAGATTCTCTCTGTAGATTATTAGAAACGGTAGCCAGTTGCTTATTAATGGATCTCATTTTATAGGAATACCACAAGGAGCGATTTCAAGTTTTATGCCGATCGTTTGGTAAGACATGTTTGATTTTATGATATTGTACATATTGCCAAAAGCATCCACTTTATTTAGACTCTAATTAGAATTATAATATTACGTGTGTGATATAATACATTGTTCTGAAATCTTTTTTTGAACATTGTACTATACAAAATTTAAAAGAAATCATCTAGAGTTTAAACCAGTAATTATTTAAGCTGTCAAAAAACAAAGTATATTGATTGTTCTAAATGGTTATTCTTTGATAGATCTATGCTTATTTTATGAAGAAAATATTATATTGTAATTTTTCCTGAATATTTTAGATCAGACTTGTTATCGAAGAGAGTTTGAACCAATTGCCTTTTACAAAATGTGTGGTAACAACTCCAACTGGTGCCAAATATAAAGGTTTAAAATATCAGAAGGGAAATTGTGGTGTATCTATAGTAAGAAGTGGAGAGGCTATGGAACAGGTATTATATAATTAATACTAAACATATTATACGTATATTATATCTAAAAGATATCTGTATATGGATAAAAAAAAAACTGCTAAACTATCATGGAATAAATGTTTTTTATAGGGTCTAAGAGATTGTTGTCGTAGTATCAGAATTGGTAAGATATTGGTAGAAAGTGATGCAGACACACACGAAGCTAAAGTAGTCTATGCTAAATTCCCAGATGATATATCCGAAAGAAAGGTTTTATTGATGTATCCAATAATGAGTGAGTCTCAAAAAATTTTTATATTGTAATAACCAAATATATACGCAGCATTCTGGATTAAAACATTTATATAATATATTTATTATGCATATATAGGTACAGGAAATACTGTCATAAAAGCTATAGCTGTACTGAAAGAGCATAATGTGCTCGAAGAAAATATTATCCTGTCAAATTTGTTTTGTACACCAATCGCAGCCAAATCTCTAGTCACTGCCTTTCCTAAGGTAACTGTCATCATATATTTTCATTTGCATTATAATAATGTGTAATTTAAACCTTTAGGTTTGATAATATATATATTTGCTTTAATAAATTATCTTTTTTTTTTTATAGATGAAGATTTTAACTTCAGAGATCCATACTGTTGCACCAAATCATTTTGGACAAAAATACTTTGGTACGGATTAATTATATTTCACTACTGCATAATACGCTAAAAGAAATATAATGCATAATAAAATCGAGAGAAAATCAATTAAGAATGATTGCATGCTACAAAAATTATACTAAATTCTGAATCCTCTATCAAGCTAATTAATAGTTAAAATCATTTGATATTTAACAGTGATATACAATACATTTAAAAAAGGCATTCTCTTTTTCTGCGATTTCTAAATATATATTTAAAAATTTACCTAGAAACAATTTTTGTACAATTTTTAAAATTTACGCTTTATCTATTTTTCTTCAAAAACAAATTTATTTTTATTTATTTATTATAATTCAGTTGTTATTTTTGATTATTATAATTCAAAATAGTATATATATCTAAGATTATGTATTATTAGTATATATGTTTCATATGAAATTATATATTTATTTTGAGTGATTTTAGGTATTAGCTGTAAACATTCTCTTGATTTTCTCTATTTACAATAAGACTGTAAGTAATACATTTGTTTTAAATGTACTTAGAATCGATTGAAAATACCGAAATGAAATAACTGATATTTTTACAATGATATCTCTTTTATCAGACAACAATTTTTTGTCAAATTTTTCTAATCTCTTTGCGTTTTGTAGTAGACATTATAGAAATATTATGAATTTTATATGTGCCATACTCTTCATACAAAATATTTGCATAAATTATCTCGCTTGATAAACTGAGTATCATATGCAATAATACCAGTTCAGATATTGCATATATATACAAACACATACATACGTATATACGCATTTCTTAAATATAAATTCATGGAATCACCGTCCTACTAAAAAGTAAAAACAATTTGATAGATAAATAATTAAAAGCATGCAAACATAATAAATAATTATTTTCAAAATTGTTTTATTTTTTGTTGTTTCATAAAAAATTGTTTGACTGAATTTGAAGAAACAAGGATCTTAACTGACATTAAATTTGTAAGTACTGTAAATGAATAATATTAGGTTTTCTATATGCATAATATACGATATGTGTGCAATATTTGTATATAAGTATATAGAAAGAAAAGAATCTAAAAATCTGTTACAGCTTTTTTTTGTTATCAGATCTGGTTTTATTACACTACATTTGTATGCGTATTAGCATATAAATTTCATATGGAATAAAATTAATATCCACAATATTAATGAATTTTAACTCACATAATATAATTTTGTTGAATTTAACAGTACGTGCATATATTAATTGAATACTTGTTTTTTAAAGTATAGTTTAATTAAAATAATATTTAAAATTTATTTCTTATGATTTGACTTAATTGTTGTCGAAAAAATAAATACCTCATTATATGTGTGTTACATAATATCTTGAAATAATACATTGTATGTATTATTTTTACTACATATATCTTACAGAGATCTTGTGAGAAATTAATCTGTTTAGATAATATAAATATAAATGTTTACAGAAAAGCATAATATGAAATGTGATAAAATACATTGAAATGTGTTAGAATGCATTAAAACAATCCTGAAGATGCAATGTTATAATAATTTAATAATTATACTTTTGTATGTTTTTGAAACTTATAAAAAGAAACACACTGCATACATGTGAAAAGAGATAAAGAAGTTTGTGATCTGAAATGCTATCAATAATTTATAAAAATTGAATAATTTTGATTCATTCTTGATTGTTGCATTTTATACGTAATTTTTAATCGAATATTTACATGTTAATCGTATACATTGATACTTATAATTATATACATATTCTTCTTAGTACATTTTAGTCGAAAGGGGTACAAATGTTATTTACAATAGTTTAATATACATAAAATATAGTACATTTTAAAATGTTTGATGTGAAGAGAATTAAATAGTATAATGCATTATGTAATTTATTTATTTACTTGATGCCATATAAGTATTTTGATGCGATTAGGGAGAGATAGTCTTAATTGTTAATGTCAGTTAAGAGCAAAGAATGGTATATGTACAACAGTACATATACATTAAAAACTATTCTGTATACAATATGTAGGATACAGTTTATGAAGTCAAAATACAATTTATAACTCAATAACTGAAAATTGGAAGAAAAAAGCATCTAAATCTTTATAAATCTTTGATATCAATAAAAAAACACATAGGTACGCCCATTGAATGGGCTATGCAGCTTTTACATGCAAGTTTTAAAAAGTAATATAAATAAATATATTTGATATTATTTTCAATATATATAAGTAATAATTATTACATGTTTATTTAACAGCTAAAAAATCTCAGTTGCAATGTTTTAAAGAAAAAAAATATCTTTAGTCAAAAAAACATGTTCAAAAAAGAATTTATTCTTTAAAAAATCTAGATTGCCTATAGAGCATTCTCTCTTATTAAACTATTTGCCTTATAACGTGCCTATGAAAAAGCTGCATTCCATAATTACAGCAATATCCTAGTAAGACCAACAATTCATGTAACGTAAACTTCTGTTATTGGAGATGTGAGACGTATTATATCCATACTATTTAAATTATAAGTTTATTTACATTGTTTACCATCTTTTACGTATCAACAATAAATTTATTTAATAAATATATTGTATCAATATTGATAAATACAGCTATATATATATATATATATATATATATGTATATAACGCGGAGAAAGCGGCAAATGACATTAATGACATTAATTATTAATTACTTAATATATCAAATAATATAAGTAAAATAAACGTAATTTTATGAAAATAATCTACGTTTTATTTTATTTATTTATTTTTTTTATATTTTTAAATATAATAATTTTTAGACAAAAAAGAGCTTACATATCTAGTCTAACTCATGTTTTATCATATTTCCATTATCATTATAATAATGCAACTTAATTACAATTAAATAATATGATTCTGCATTATTAATATTAATTATGTAAATCGTAAAATTTTTGTTGTATAAGTTTTTCCAATTTTAATCAATTTCAATCAATCATTAAATTTATTTTAGTTTTATTACTAGTAGTAAAAATTGTCACAAAAAATGTATCTTTAAATTCATCAAAATATTCATTTATGAATAATTTCTTAGTATATCTAAAATATCCTGAATTTTTCTCTCCAGATGTTTAAAATATATATAAATACTGTTATTATAAATAATATACATATAATGAATGATATATTATATATTTTATTAGTAATAAAAACATAATTTATAAAGATTTTTGTGTAATCAAATATTGTCAAATTTTCTTATTATAAAGAATTCTCTTTAAATATAAACACTTTTATATATGCCAAATATATATTATAAAAAAAAAACAATTATTGTTTTCAGGCTGTACTCGTGTCATAGTGGAGACACCAAATATACAAGAGAAAGATAATTGAGGAATTATATTTATATAGTATTATTGAGAGAATCTTAATTGAATTAATCAAAATTAGTAAATTTTTAATCATTCTATGAAATAAAAAAAAAATATATTGTACGTTATAAATTTTATAGATAAATCTCTGACTATATAGGTATTAATTTTAATTCGAGAAGGTGTACAAAATATTTTTAGATATTTTATGTCAAGAAAAAATATATATTTTGTGTATGTTTTTATACTGCTTAAAAAAAATCAATATAGGCTTGTTATAAAATAACATGCATATATTTGAATATTATATTTATGTACTTACCATGTTTGACAATGAAAAATAGAATTAATCAAATTCCCAAAAATATACTCTATTTAGATAATATAATATTTTTATTGTTTTGTGATATATGATTAGAAATAGATTTTTTAAGGATATATATATAAATGGAATTTTAAGCTTGAATTGTTATATTTATTAATAAATTCTTGTATGTATGTAACAATGATCGTTGTGATCCATATATATATACACATATAATGTATAATGAATATTATCTTTGTAAATATGGTTACATCTAATGATTATATATATATATCTCTCTCTAATGCAATGTTAAAATTTATTTTAACATTAATATATTGAATCTTTATTGTTACCGCTTCCCCATCTTTGTAATAAGAAAGACATATTTTTAAAAAGAAATAAAGCTTTGTCGTTATTTTCCTCCTTTGATTGCAATAAATTATATATATCAATCATAAATTTAATGCACTGTGTTGAAGAATAGAATTATAATAACAAAAATAATGTTTTATTTCATTTATTCATAACAAAGCAGTTTGTTATAGCAAATGCTGCATAAAGCTGAATTTTTTATGACAATGGTATTTGAACGATATATAAGCAATAAAAGATTTACACAAGATATTAATCTTGTCTAGTACAAAAAGATAATATGTGTCGTTAAAGCAATAAGAGAAATAATTTATATAGGCCTCTCAATTGCTACAACTGCCGCTATTATCATTAATACTATTTTAGAACAGACTATTTTGGAAACATTAAAACTATCATTTGTCAAATAAATAAAAGATTCCCCTCCTATTATTAGGAATTTATTGTGTTTTGTCCCAATAGTAGCAGTTGTAAGAAGTTTTTCTCTTTTGTGAATTTTTATATATTATATATATTACAATAACTTATCAACATCTCAAATCTTCAATTTTTTTGTGTTTTAAAGTAGAACTCTTCTTAAATATAAAAAACTTATAATCACGATCGATTAAAATCAAAGATTTTGATAGATTATGTTAAGTAGTAAATGTGAGTCATATGCACAGATATCGATGAAATTATGTCATACCAGCATGAATCATATGTACTAGTATATTCTGTCATATATATATATAAGTAGAAATACGAATAAAAGTTTATACAATAAAAATAGATATTTATAATTGAGCTATAAAAATCTAGAAATCTCTTCTCTTTTGTTCTTTTTTTTTCTAAAAACTATATAATTCTCTTTAATACGCATGTATTATATAATAAGTTGAAGAAAAATCAATGACTTTTTACAACATATTTGGAAACACTGTTTTTATATATCTTAATGCAATGAAATATTCAAATAACAAGTCAAAATTATCTTTAATACTGTACATATTTGAGACTTTTTTTAAATGTATAATATAAATATCAAAATTTTCTCATATGTAACGTTCAATTAAATTTTCAGACCTAAAAAAATCCGATTTATAATAGAAATATATCTATATATTTATCCTCATATATCTCAAATGATATTGTATGTGTATTGTGTATATGCATCTGTTGCTATATCCTATATATATATATATTTTTTTTTTTTGTTTGCACACTCCAACATAATAATCGAAAAGTTGCATACTTAATGGAAAACAAAAAGGTAAAAGAAAAATATATATTTTAATTTCATTGTCGAAAGTGCTGCAATATATTGTAGTGCAGTGTGAAACAATGCAAAATAATAAACAATAAAGGTGAAGATGTGTATAAAGATAGCAATATGAAGGAATTGTCTGATATCACCTAATCAAACCTGTTGAAAAACAGACATTGGTGTGTGAAGACGCGTTTGATCTAAAATACAAAGTATATTCTATAAAAGTATGTTCTCTATGCGTGTCACTTGTACTGTTCATTCAGCAGACTTTCCAATACAGAATATTATCTTGGCAGTACCTTCATTCAGCCTTAGTAATGTAATAAACGTAGCTTTGCAAAATACGCTTGTGGGTGGAAAAGGAAGGATGTATGAAATATATCCCAATTTTACATGTGGGTATATCTCTCATATCTATTCCTCTTTCTCTTGGTCGTCGGATTTTTCTTCATTTTTATCTCCATTATCTTCGGCATGTTCACCTTCGTCACTAGTAATAATTTTTGTCGCGCTATCTACTTCAGTCGGTTTAGAGTCATCTAAGGCTTTATTCTCGCTGTTTAAAGTTGTTCTTTCTGGTAAACTAAAGAAGATAATATTATAAATTTTACTAATGTTTAATATATTTTTACATTATAATAATATGTATATTCTCAGTTACCTGTCGGAGAGTACTATATCTGCTTCTTTGTCCGCAGAAGGCTGAAAGAAACAGATATGTTAGATAGAAACTATAATATAAATTTAGTAGCAAAGTCATAAACCTAGTGAAGGAAAGAGAAATAGATGAGAGAAAGTCTTCTCTCATGTGTACGTGTGTGATAAATTAAAATAATTATACAGCTAATAGTGCTTTATTGTTACAAAATTACAAGATATAGCATCTATTAATGTATATATACCATCATGTTAGTTCCTTTTAATATATATATATAGTAAGTATAAAAAAATAGTTTCTCAACATGTATGTATTGTACACGTGTCAAACATTAAATACATTGCTAGAAATAGCAGTTAGGCATGTATTTATTGTTTGACACATGTACAACATATACATGTTAACAAACTATTCTTTTATGCTTTCTATTTATATGCTGGAAATAGCAATTAGTCATGTATTTATTGTTTGGCAATCTATAGTTTGGCAGTTCTGAATTTTTTCTCTCATAAAGAAAAGTATATATATACTTTTCTTTGTGATGTATATAAATGAAAAACAAATTATAAAATAACAAAACTCTTTTAAGTTAACAAAGGGAATAGTATTACCTCTCGACTTGAAGTATTTCCATTCTCTTGAATTCCATCACTCTGAGATTTTGAATCAAGAGTGATTTCTGCAGTACTGATTGCTGGCGTTACTTTCAAAAACTTTTCCAATTCATCCAATTCGTTTGCTAAATCAAAGTCTTCATAATCCTGCAAAATTTAATTGCTTAAATGTATTGCATTAGAAATGTGATATTTCATTTAGATAATTATCTTTGCTCTTGTGTTGCATGTATACAACATACTTGTAGAATTAATATGCATTATTTGAAAATAACAAGATTAAATTATAAACAGTATAAAAAGAGAAAAGGCAATTACTCCACAATAATCATCTTCATTAAATATTTGCGGTGGCAATGGATACTTGTTGGTTCTTGCATTACTATTAGCTTGCATGAATTCTTTGTCTAATTCCTTGCCCGGCTCTGTTATATCAATAATCTCATATTCCACATGTTTACTATCTAGAATCATCGTCACACGTTGTTGTCTTTTCTTCACCTGTAACGTATTTATTACATGATTCAAAACTTTAGACTTTCACTAGTTTATAATACACAAACATGCAACTACTTGAATTTATTAGAATCAATTGTAAATATGACATGCAACCTACATCTATATACATAATTTATTCAGAAATGATAAATATTAAATAAAAATTAATGTTAAATATCACACAATTTTGTAATAAGATAGAATCAGCTGTTTTAATTTTTTTACATTGTATTTTCATAATTATAAAATTTAAAAAATAGTATGTATATATATA